GTCAGCTTCGGATCCATATCTCGTCTTCCTGTGCTTGCTTGCTTGCTTGCCTCCTCTTCTTCGTCTTCTTCCTCTGAGTGGTTTTGCTTTTCGCTTGCCTTGAGCTTTTATCACTCTTTGCTTCCTCTACAAGAAGAAATTGTATTTTATGGGGCTTTCATTCTGGGTTGGGCTTGGTCTTGGGCCTCAAGGCCCATCACTAATATACTACGTGTCGTAAAATTGAACATAAAGTTCGACGAGTCGTTAAGACTCAATTGTCCTACTGCTCCGTCCCCTTATCAATATCCACTCAGCGAGCCACTGACCCAGAAGCTTTATTCTGCTCATAACAGAGCTTCAAACAATGGCTTCCACTTCTTCACTCATTTCAACTACTCCTTCGAATTTCCAGTTTTGCCCCAAAGCAATTTCCCAAATTCCATCTCTGCCCCAGACCATCTCCTTCACTCATTTCAACCGAACCAGACCGGGTCTCCGTTCGGGCCTGACCGCCAAAGTCCAGTCACTGGAGTTCTCGGGCTCGTTTTTCGAGGGAGGGTTCCAGTCAGAGGATGATCCGACTTCACCACCCGGGTCGGGTTTAACCGCAGTGGAGGAGAAGGAGGAGCCACCGTGCCCACCGGGGCTCCGACAGTACGAGACCATGGCGGTTCTCAGGCCAGACATGTCGGAGGATGAAAGACTTACTCTTACCCAAAAGTACGAGGAGGTAAACGGATTTTCTATATTTGGGTGAAGTAAAGTTGATTACTTTGGTTCTTAAGATAGGTGGGGTTTATCTATCTGTTTCAATTTGGCTTTGTAATGTGTTTGGTGGCTGAGAAAAAAATGGTGGGGAAGTGAGGAATGTGTTAAATTGAGGTTATTTGAAGACAAATTAACAAAAATGAAATTTTGAATTGAATTGAATTGAATGGCTCTACATAATGCATGGTGCACCGTGCATGCCCATAACTATTTAGGCATAGCACAAAGCTAGATTGGCCTTTTGGTCCAATGTAGTTAGTCCTTTTGCCAAAGTGAAGCTGCTTAACTAGTCTCTCTTTATGTCCATTGGAAGAGAAACTAGTGTGTAATAAGAGCTGAAGGTTTGTGATGGCAGAGAGTATTTGATGCTCTAAATGCTGAAGGAGTTTGGATACTCCATAGATCTTTAACTTTGAAAAGCTTACTTTCCTGTGCGGGATGCTTTTCTTTGTTAGAGCTCCATTTTTCAAGACATACTTTGCTAATGGAAATTGAATCCTCAAACTAAAGTTGGGCTCATCTGTTGATTTAAATTTCAGACTTAAAGAGTACCTTTTCTCCGGAAACTGTGTTTAGGTACCTGTTGTATTTAGTGAGGAGCTGTCATGTCAGACGGCTCAAATTTTTGTGTTAGCAGATATGCCACTTATTGATTTACCCTATACATCCTGTCTAGTTGGAGGTATAAGTTTACCCGATACATCCTATATATTACACGATAAAACTTAAAAGCACTTGCTCGATCACATCTTAAAATAGTGGTGAACCAGCACTATCTATCATGATATCAAAGTGGGAGATCCTGAATCGGAATTTGTACACCTTCAACGTCCCAATTTATGTTGATTCTATGTGTTGGAATCTCTAGTGATAGGAGAGGCAGAGGGCCACACATGAGAGGGAGTAGTGGTAAACTAAAGGCATTTTATCATTGTATCATATTAGTTTGTTGTCTGTTATTGTTTTCCATGCTTGGATGTGCAATAACTACTTCTCCTTTACTCAATAGAATAAATCTATTGTATGGGATGGGAATCTAGTAGAGTGATGATGATCACGGAGCAATCAATTACAGCGAGAATGGGAAAAACTACACAAGTCTGCCCTTATTAAGACCCTATTTTCTTAATTTTTTTAATGATGTGGCCTTGAACAGCAAGACACTGTTGGGCAAAACTGATTAGATTATGACTGTATTCGGACCAAAAGCTTGGAAAAGCGCAGTGGAAATTGGATCATTCTCACAGGTCACCCAATAATCCCTTAATTGTCAAAAAATGCCAAATTTTTATGTTGTTTGACTTGTCATGCCTTATTTCACCCTCTAGTTTCTATCTATGCTTTTCATGCCATATTTTTAGAACATCTGGAGAACTAGGATGCGGACTTCCTGTTGGTTTTATCATCACAAATTGAAGTTTCATAGTGCATTGATAGGGTATAAGCCTTTTGACATAAATATACACGTCCGATGGCTCTGTGATTTACTGTTTAAGAAGAACTTATCGGAAATAAGATGAGGTTTGGCATATGCAATTTACTTAGAGCAGCCTGATATTCCATGCTGAGGATACAACGCCTTTTTTCTTTTTTTCCTGATGGTCTGTAATTTGCAGTTGCTTATAGCCGGAGGCGGCATGTATGTGGAGGTCTTCAACAGAGGGGTCATTCCACTAGCCTATGGCATCCAGAAGAAAAACAAAGCTGGAGAGTCTAACACTTACTTGGATGGTATCTACCTACTCTTTACCTACTTCACAAAACCCGACTCTCTCGAAGTTCTTGAAGCGAATCTGAAAGCTGATGATAATGTCATCCGATCAATGAGCTTCAAAATAAGGAAGAGGAAGTACTAGTTTAGTTTTGAATGTACAATGTAATTTCACATGTTTCGAATCTTCCATCCTTTCCTTCTTGTTGAGATTCAGGTCATTCAGTTTGTTTTGTAACATAATTGGATTAATGACCGAAGCAAAAATATGCAGTTGCTAGAATTAACTTGCAATGGTATGAGCACACCTTTTTAATGACCAACTATAAACATCATGTTATATGAATATGAAAGAGCATTTTCATCATGAACTCATTTGGTGACTCGGCTTGGATTGGATTGGATTGGATTGTAATGGAATTCAAGCCAGTCTTTATGTTGACTCACCAAACATTGTCATGAATGCCAAAACAAGAAAGCATTATCAACGCGCTGAATCTCCACTTTCTTTGTACATTAGATCTTCTGAAATCATAAAATCTAACACTAGAACTTCTGCAATCATAAAAATCATAAAAATCTCACACTAAAATCATAAAAAAAGTTGAATGAGATGCTGAAATCATAAAAATCTAACACTAGAACTTGTGCAATCAATAGAATATATGCATGTGTGATGTCCTAGGTTCATCTCATTGCTCAAATGGTCTTTTCTTTTCAAGACAGCAGACTGCACGATCGCAATGGTGGGAGTTTGCTTTTTGACAAAAATTGAACCAAATTCATATTTAATTGTCTTATTTTATGGTTTTCTATAATTTTGGCTATAATCCCCTCCCTGGATTAGCACTAATTAACACTCACTGGTGTCTTTAATCATGGGAGCTATGGTGTCAGCATGATGACACAGTCACAAGCCGCCGCTTAATAGTAGCTAGATTGGAGTCATTCTTTTCATTTGTACATGCGGATTCCACAAGCTGCTGAAAAATTACTGAGATGTAAAGCAGGAGCACATTACTAAGTGAAAACAAATGCGTGAAGTAGGAAATGGGCCAGACCAAAAATTTTAAAAGGGGCTTTTTTTAATAGCTAGAGAATCTGATTGTGCTGCAGAATGAGATATGATCTTCAATCCACTTTGTGAGAGAGAGCTTTCTTCATGATCCACCAACGGCACTGAAATCTCCCCAACTCAATTAAGGGTCACCCCCAACCCAAATTGCATACTAGAAAAGCTTAAGAGAGGACAAGTTGAACCAATGAATAACATAAAATAAATGCGAAATACATTAAAGAAATATATAGCAGAAAAGTGGGGAACCGCAAAAAAGTTGTTCTGAAATCATGTAGACCAAGATTCTTTTATAAAAAAAATTCATTTCTTTTTGGTCATGCTTGCATAAGTGGCGAGTTAAAGAATGATTTGGGTCTTTGTACATGAGAATATGGATGCTTTGCACTTTACTTCATGTCTTCAATTTCTCACTGCACAGATAGCTACTAACCTACTCTGAGCAGCTGTAAAAAATTCAGTCATTCAAATCTCTACCTGAAGCCATCTTTGCCTTCTGCATGTTAATAACCCAAAATAAGAAAACAACAATGTTTTTTTCATTTCTTTTTAGGATTTATATTTTTCTCTTCGAGTTTTTATTTGCTTCTTTTACAGTTTATCTCCCGGGGTCCTAAAAGAGTGCTATCGTAGACTCTGATTATTTTTCCTTGTTTCAAACTTCCATTTCTCAAAAATAAAACAAAAACAAAACTCTCTGTCTCTCTCTCTCTCTCCAATTTTTTTTTTTTTTTTGTCTCTCCTCGCTTTATTATGATCTCACTTGGTAAATTCTTAGGTTTGACATTGGAGACGCCATGCAATTTTATGCTTCCTATTGTATGGTGATACTATATGGCTCAATCTCTTGTGGTTATATAATGATGAAAAGCTCACAGCACCAACCTCACTTTACTTTAGTGCATGAAAGAAATAATTCTTCTTTTTTCTTTCTTACCTAGCTAGTCATGAGATAAAGGTCTTAAAACAACTTGAAAGGGAAACAATTCTTCCTTCGATCATTAACAAGAATAAGTTCTTTGCTTATATGATATAAAAACAAAGGCTTAACTGGCCCCAGTATAACCCCTTCATCTGTGCCACAGTGTATCCCTTAAATGCTAGTTAGATATAGACCAAGATTAAGGAATAGCAACTCAAGTGGTTAAGAGCAGTTATTTTTTGCACCCGAGGTTCTGCGTTCGAATAACCCCTCCTCAATATCTCTCGTATAAAAAGTATATATAAAAATTATGCTGATATGTTAACATGCCAACAACTTGATGTTCATTGATGAACATGCAGGCCTAATTATATATAATTGTAAGCTCAGTTACTCATGATGTACCAAAAATATATTTAAGGTAGAGAAGTGTCAATTAATTAGTTGAAGTTGAGACAAACCATTTGCTAACAGCCTAACTCCATACATACCTGTATTATGGTTTTATAGGTTTGTTAGGTCATCGACCTGCCAACCATGGATGATCAGATCGATCAACAGCTCAAGTAAGACCAATGCGACCTTTCTTGACCTAACCGTAACTTTCTTCTATTTTTTTAATTGAATTCAACATTTTAATATATCATAATTAGCAGTAAGAACTCTGGGCCTCAGTGCTTCATGTTTTAGCTAGTGATAGACATGGGTGTCCCATCATTGAAATCACCTTTCTTTTTTTTCGTCGAACCATCATTGAAATTACTGGAAATAAGGAATATAATACCATCATGTTCATGGCATCATGTAAATTTGATCTCAAAAGCTTACTGCTATGGATTTTTTTATTTCTTTGATAAGATGATGGTTCCTAT